TATATATATATATATATATATATATATATATATATATATGGGATTGTATACTATGAGACTATTTACTTTTGGATAATGAAGTCACAATCATTTTTAGCCATTGGATGTAAAAACCAATAAATTGAAGTGTACAACAACATTTGAGAAATTTTATTTTGGACTTCGTGGCTAATCAATGGCACATCTTAAACCACTTGATTTGACATCTAACAGTCAATAATGATTGTGACCTCCTTGTATCAAAAAAATAAATGGTCTCATTTTATGTGCTTCCTATATATGTGTATGTACATATACTAATATTTGTATGTATATATACATACACATATGCTTAAAGGATTGTATGTATACACACACACATAAAGGACTGTATGTATATAAGAAAAATATTATATGCCCAAGCTAATTTTTACAGCATTAACTCACTGGTTGAAAATGTGAAAGGAAGTATAATCAATATATATGGGAGTGATACGTACAATATCTTGTATGTTGTGGTAAGTCAGGGCATAGTTTAGGTGGCTGCGATTTATTTTTATTTTTCTCATTTGTAATTTGTCTATAAAAGACAAGTCTATACATTCATACAATTAATGGATACAGAGAGTCTCTTCAGAGAAACCTAAGACTCTTCATAGAAAACTCCTAAGAGAACATCTCTAAGGGGATTCATTTGATCCAAAATTTTGAAAATGTCCCATATATTCATACTAACGAACACGCTCATAAAAAAATATGAAAACTTCAAAAACATAGTTTTTTGGGAGGGAAAATTCACTAAATACAGGCCAACATCCATTTCAAAAAAGGAAAAATGGTTTTGGATCTACGCCTTAGAAGAAGTTAGATCCCACACACACACAGAAATGGCGGGGTGGGTTGGTCCGAGAAAGAGAGAGAAAGAAGCACACACTATGAACAAAGATTACAAGTGTGGTTTTAAGAGAACTCTGGCTCTAGAACTGTTGAGTAGAATGGATGGCTTACCTTAGCTCCCTCAATCCCCACCAAAGGCAATAGAAATACTTGTTTAGAAACTTTGCAGATGTCACGCTATAGGTTATTGCATCACCATAGATCCCAAAGTCAAACAAATTACTGGTTGTGCTGCAGACGCTTGTGATATTACTTGATTGAAACCATCTACTCCGGGAGGCCTCCTCATCCACATCTCTTATCTTGCATTGAAAAAATCCATATTGGCAAGCTGGGCTTTCGAGGCGGCAGACAGATTTCCAACAAGCATCTTGGCGTTCAATTGCTAAAAGATACCAACATGCTCCTAGTACCTATCCAAGCATAACAAGATGTAATTCTACAATAAAGCCATTTACCTTTGGTATAAAAGAGTCACAATCACCCCTAGCCAACAAATGTGAAACCGGACATTAGAGGGTGTACTAGTGACTGCGCTCAAAATCTGAGAAAAACTTGCTTGGAATTTGTGGAGAATTGACGCACCCCAGCCATCCTATTTCACATCTGAAAGCTTGGGTGTCTGTGACCTTTAGGAGAGGGAAGTCAAAGGTTTGAGACTTTTCGAAGTTTGTCACTAAAGGCCTAATAAACAAGCTGACCTAGCCTGCTTGTTTATTGAACTTCTCATAATTGAGCTATTTAGCAAGTGAACACTATAATTACATTGGAAAATATTTGTTTGTATGGAGGGATAACAGAGCTTTTGCACTCACATGGCTTGCAAGCATGTAAAGCATTAGGTTATATGCAGCACCAGCCCATGCAGTCTCTGTCACAACCCCAGTTGCCTTGACAATTTGAGAAGAGAGAGGAAATATCAGATATAGCCTTGGGAGATACTGGAAAATGATTATAAATCGAAGAACATTCCTTGTGTTAGCCATTGCTGAACCTTGGAGCGCTGGTATAATACCCCAAATTAGAATCTGAAATTTTTTGAAAGGTACAATCCCATGTTAGAAATGGTTTATACAAGTATTTAATTTAAATGGCCAAGTGAAGTGCACAAAGATTGAAGTGCTATGATATCTAGATGCAACTATGAGGAACAATTCAATGCTGATACTTGTAGGTATCGGACAAGGCTTCCATTTTCAAGCATTCACTGATAGATAGACTGACAGATAATATGAAGTTAGTTTTGTACCTGTGGTAGGGGCAAAGCGGCGATGACGTCAATAAAAAACCCCCTCGCCAGATATCGATCTGCAATCTTCATGGGATCGATCACAAGCTCACCCCTTCCAAAAACACGAGAAGAAGGCGCAATGAAAGCCGTTCGAAATTGAATATAAATATGAATCATATATAACAAGTCAGTAATTGTTCGTATAGTTGTCAAGGCGATCTCTAGGATGATGCCAATTTCTATACAGGCCTCTGTTCGAGTACTGGGCAAGTAGAAGAACAGGGGATCGACAAAAAGGGAAACCAAACAACCAACAAGGAAGATTTTGTTCCATTTGTGAATAGAAGGTCCCCTTGGGTCAAGGACCTTTCTCCTGATTCTTTCGTAATCTTCAGAAAAAACTCTAGATAGAACCTTAGACTTCAATGACCGGCTAGTATTCCCTGCGCTCTTCTGTTCTTCCTTCTTCAAGCCTAGATCGAGTATTTGAGTCCCTTTGATGTTGGTGGTGGGCTTCACATTGTTTTCTGGTTTGTAGGTTGTGAATTTTGCAGCTTCGAGGTCGTTTCCGAACCTGGAGAAGATGCAAGAATGATGTTCATTGCTTTGATTTTGTATTGTGCTAGACATGGAAACAGAGGAACTCAACTGTTGCTTTTAGTCTCAATCAAAGGGACTGAAAAATTAGGCCCTCTCTAGGGCTGTCAACTGGTGAGCCGAAATGAGTTTGATATGTTCAACAGTGGCTTGCATGCTTAGGGAATCAGCTTTAGCTTGACTTGAGCTCAAACCATTCTCCTTAAGCTTGACATCAAGGAGGGATAAGCTTGAGCTTGGCTTGCTTAAACAAGTCACAATGAAGCGAAATCAAGCTAAAAACAAGCCAATTCCTGTCGAGCATGGCCCATATTTCTAAGAAACCAACATTTTTCTAATTTACATACATGAATGTTATATTAAAATTATTGATTGCGTACAATAAATATATATATCAAACATTTTAAGATTGAGCCAAGCATGTCTTAGCTTGAGCTTGACTTGATTTATAAACGAGTTGTCTGGCTCAACTTGGCTTGGCTTGGCTTGCCTAGCTGCAAAATATTGTTCAAACTTGCCTTATGCAAGTTGCCATTCAAGCTAGCCTTATGTGAGTTACTGGGCTTATTGGCCTCTCTCTCTCTCTATCTCTCTCTCTCTCTCATCACAAGTAGGTTTATGTATCAAGGTTTATGCATCAATCACTCTCTCTCCTTTTCAAGATAGGTCTCAAATTGATCTTATATAACCCATATACCATAACTTATAGAAACCTACAATAGCTAAGCAGTTTTCTTTCTCACTCTCTCCTTTTAGGAAGCAGGTCTCAATTTGATCTTATGTAAACCACATACCACAACTTTAGAAGCCTACTGACTCTAGCTAAGCAGTTTTCACTCTCATTCTCTCTCCTCTTTAATAGTGGGTATCAACTACAATTTTAGAAGCCTACTGACTCTAGCTAAGCAGTTTTCACTCTCATTCTCTCTCTTCTTTAATAGTGGGTATCAATCATAAACTGCATAATCTGGAAACCAACCATGACTCTCATTGTCTCTCTTATTGAAGAGTGGGTCTCTTCTCTCCACTGGAGGAATTGTAGACCACATATTATGTAGGGATTGTATACAATGATACCATTTATTTTTGGAACAGAGAGGTCATAATTACTTACAACAATAATACGTGAAATCTAATAGCTTGAGTGTGTCACAAAGTTTGAAATTTTTTTTTTTAAAGTTTAAACATGAATAATAAAATAAATGCAGCTGCTCAATTTCACATCTAATAGTCAAAGTTAATTGTGACCACTTTATATCATAGGTAAATGGTCTCACTATATATTTTCCCTATTATGTATATGATGTCTGTCAAAGGTCTATGTTAGAGAGGGTGCAAAGCAGATCATGGATTTCAAAGTCCACCTCATGCTTTTAGTTAAAAGTTGTCATGACAGGTGAAAGGTTGTATATTATAAGACGGTTTATTTTTTGTTTGGAGAGGTCACGATCATCTTTAGCCATCCTATATAAAATCAAAAAGCTATGGGTGTGTCATTTCTTTAGACGATATTTTAGAAAAATATCCTAAGACTGTGAACATAATTAATGGCACACCTCATTAGCTGGATTCCACCCATATCTGATGGATGGTTATGGGTGATTGTGGCATCCCCAAATGTAGATTGTCGTTTGGGTACCTTCCCTCTAGGAAAACCCTAAAGTCTATTACCCCAAACTTCGGATAGAATGAAATGAGAGTAAGAAACCAAAAAAATGGGAAAGAGAAATTAATAAAAGTGGGTCATATTGGGCAGACCAAAACAATGCGAATGAATGTATTTTCAAAAAGGTGGGGGTCTTTGGGAAAGAAAATATATACAATAAGATCATTTATTTTGGATGCAAGGAGGTCATAATCATCATTGACCTATAATTGAAATAAGGTAAATGAGGTTGAGTCATTGCTTGCGTACAAGTTTTAAAATAAAATTTCTCGAATGTTGTAACAAATTTTTATCTTTTGGGTTTCACATCTAATGGTTAAAAATGATAGAAAATTGTTTCATGCGGTCTGGATCGCATCATTACATATGCAATCCAAAAAGTGTAAAGCATCCATCTTAAAGATGGATGCAAGTAGGTGTTCCATCTAAACACAATGGAAACTAACGATTTAAATATTTTTTTATTAGAATTATTATTTTAGTTCTTAAAATTTATTTATTTTTTCATATTCATGATCCCTATGTTAAAGATTATATCTTCTTAAAAATTAAGTCAAAAAATCCATCTCAAAAATAGATTTACTAATAGGCCTACATTTCTACATGTGCGAGCTTGACTAAGCGGAATCGGGTCAAGCTCACATAGAAACCGGGTCAAAAAATGATTGTGACATCTTCGTATAAAAAATACATATAATCTCATAAAATACAATTGAAAAGAGAGAGATGCAATGTGGTGGTTTAGAGAGAGATATCTAGGATGTTGTGCTGGAGATGGAGATGGGGAGAGAGGGAGAAACAAGACACATAAGAGAGAGAAATGGGGCGTTGTGGTTGAGAGATGGAGAGATAAGACAACTTTTAAGAGAGAGAGAGAGAGATAGGG